TGCAGACGGCAGCCCAAGGGATGTGTGTGACTGCGTCTGTGTCCCAGACTGTTCGGGCTACTGTGACCAAATACCATAAGCGGGGTGGCTTGCAGACAACAGCAACGCATTTCCCATAGTTCTGGAGGCTGGGAAGGCCAAGGTCAAGGTCCGGTGTCTGGCGCCCGCTTCCTGGCTCATAGGTGCCGCCTTCTCACTGCATCCTCCCATGGATCAAGGCAACTCTCTGGGGTCTCTTTTATAAGGGAAGTAATCCTTTTGGGGGGCTCTTATGACCTAATCACCTCCCAAGCACTCCACCTGCTAACACCATCACCTTGGGGGTTAGGATTTCTATATGGTTTGTTTTTTTTTTTTTTTGAGTCAGAGTCTCACTCTGTTGCCCAGGCTAGTGTTGCCCTAGCTCAGAGCAACCTCAAACTCCTGGGCTCAAGCGATCCTCCTGCTTCAGCCTCCCGAGTAGCTGGGACTACAGGCATGGGCCATCATGCCCTGCTAAGTTTTTCTATATATTTTTTAGTTGGCCAATTAATTTCTTTCTATTTTTAGTAGAGACGGGGTCTCGCTCTTGCTCAGACTGGTTTCCAACTCCTGACCTTGAGTGATCCTCCCGCCTCGGCCTCCCAGAGTGCTAGGATTACAAGGGGGTTAGGATTTCAAGGTAAGAATTTTGAGGGGACACAAACATTCAGACCACAGCAATCTAAGACTGTTATTAAAGGTGTTACCTGGGACACCACCCCTCACCCCTTCAAAGGTCCTGCAAGAATTCCTCTCCTACCGCAGCATCAGGAAATGCTGAGCTGCTCTGGGTTGGTTTTAGCCTTTGTGAGTCGCAAAACAGGCCGGTTTCCCTCTTTGCTCTGACCAATAGGAAGCTCGGAATCCTGTTGGCAGCCCACCTTTGAGAACTGTGGAGGCCTGTCCAAAGAAGATTTCTGTGTACTGTCCTCTTGGTTCACTGCACGATTTGTTCCAGGGCTGTTTTCTCTCTGATCTATTTTTATCCTATTGTGTTTTGTGTAGTTTTGTAAGCTGCCTCCAATCCCTTTTGGAATCAAGCAGGGCATAAAGAGAAAACAAAATTCAGCAGAGCCCTGTGGCTTTGACAAGTACTTCTGAATATGCCAAGTGTCATTTTAGGATTGGACTCCTGCCGGGGAAGGCAGCTACCCTTGGCTCCCCCATGCCTCCTGGGAGTCTCCCTCTTGGAGAACAACAGCTCAGTAGGTTAGAGCAACAGGTTTTAGAGGCAAAACTGCCAACATCCATCTGCCTGCGAACGCCACTCCCTCCCCCAAAATGTTCTTCCCGGTCTCCCATCTGTCTGTTGGCAGGAAGCCACAGGGCAGAGAGATTGCAAAGGGAAAGTAGAGAGATAAACTCGCCCATTTTTGTTCCTAATTTTCCTTTCCTGCCTCTTAAATCAGGGCCTTCAGGGCCCTGGGAAAAATCACGTACATGTTAGCTCTACAGGTAAGGGGCATGCCAGTAAGGGCGGCTGCCCAGGTGTAGAGGGGGTGGGGCGCTTTGGGAGGCTGTCGTGCATCAGGGAGGGGTGGGGAGTGCCGCACACACCTGGAAAGGCCAACCCCTGCACCTGGCCCTGAATTCCGGCATCTTCCCGCGGCCTCTGCAAGTACAACACTCCCAGCTCTGCAAGCAGGTGCTGCTGCACACTGTTCGGCCCTCCACCTGTCCCTCACCTGCCGGCCGCAGAGCCAAAGCCAGCCAGCCCAGTGACTTTCACGACCTCTGCTCTGCCCTGCTCCACTCAGGGGACATTGGCCAATCCCTTGTCCTCCCAGCCTCAGTCTTCCCCTCTGTAAAATGATGAGGACAGGAAACAGGCCCTAACCCTTGAGGATCCGAAGAATCCCCTGCTGCCTTCATGTGTCCTCACATGCTCTGCTCCTTTAGTCGTGCTGCGGCCTCGGTGGAGAGGGGAGGGGCGGCTGGGTGTGTGACTCTGGGGTCGGAGGTGGACGCCAGGCAGGCCCAGCCTGGAGACCAGCAGGCGCACTGGCTCGAGACAGAGGCCAGCCAGAGCGACCCTGAGGGAAGGGCAGGGCCTTTGCACTGCCTGCTGGGCAGGGCTGGCCAGCCCTTTGGACTCAGCGGGTCAGCTGGAGGGGCCTTGAGCCGCTGGTGCCCCACCCGACGGCAGGCAGCGCACCCCTGTCCCCTGGGCATGTGGGGCAGACACACCCCGCCCGGCCAGGCAGCCAGCTGGGCCTTCATGCTGCGTGGCTTGGCCCAGCCAGGCCGCTGGCCCCACCTGGTCATTCTGGGTCCCACAGCGTAAATAACCAGGTTGGAGAGCCTCGTGGTCGTGGATCAGGGCTTTGGAGCCCATGCCTGGGTCCCAGCCCCAGCTCCTCCATATAATAGCCCTGGGGCAGGGGGGCTGGCCCGTTCTTTCACCTCTAGCTGCTTCTCCTGTGAAATTTGGTGATACGAATGGTGTCAGCCTACCAGAGTTGCTATAGGAATTAAACGAGGCCAGTACAAAGCACAGTACCCGCATGCGGCAGCCACAGAAGTTGGGGACGTGGAGGGAGATGCCTCGGTGGCAGCGGGGTCTGGCCGGACAGGCAGTGGGGCCAGAGGCTCTGGGTCCCATCATGTTTTGGGAAATGCAGGCTGAGATCTGCATTAAAATTACTAAATAATTACCCTGAAGTAGTTCCTGGCCCCTGCTTCGAGTTTTTAGAGGCAGAAGGGGCCCTACAGACAGTCTTTAAGGCCAGAAGTGCCCTGTGGGGGCCTAGGTTTCTCAGTGAACCTCAGAGACCAAGGAGGAGAGAGCAAGGAAGGACCCCACCTCCCCAAGCCCCAGCCCGACTCGGGGAAGCTCCGGCTCGGTCTGTGCCAAAGGTCCAGAGCGTGAGCTCACTGCACGCACAGCTTCCGGGAAACAGCTGGAAACCACGGAGCTAGCTCCTCACTGTAAAGAGGGAGAAACTAAAGTCACCCGGAATGGGGAAATAACCGGCCCAAGGCCACCAGCAGATGGGGGGGGGGGCTCTGTGGCAAGGTGCACTCTGCCTGTCCACCCCATCCTCGTCTCCTGGGCCCCTCGAAACCCCAACCAGCAGGCCCCTGGGTCTTCTCGCGTGGCCAGAGCTTTCCCATCTCCAGCCGAGAATCAGACCCTGGGCTTAGGGCGGCCGGCCTCTCTCGGACCTTCCAGAATCTGTGGTCAGGCAATGCAGGGAGGGCAGTGTCTCCCTCTGGGGAGGGAAGCTGAGACCACGTCTTGGAGGGACGGCCCCCTCACCTGCTCCCTCACCTGCCCTCTCCCCACCCCCAGCTCCGCTCCCTCCCTCCCTCTGGGGTGATATTTTAGTTATGCCTCTGATTGCTTCCCAAGGAGATAACGAGTGGGGAGCCCAGATTTCTCAGTAGCTGCTCAGGAGAGACAGTGAGTTTCTAGCAGGAACTCAGCCACTCTGGGGTCCTCGAGATTTCCCCAGATTTCCGGAGAGCAAGCGAGGGCTTCGGCCCTGCTGGGGACAGTGCTCCCTTCCGAGAGGGGCCCAGGCAGAGGAGCCCATGCGGGTGGGCTGGGGGACCCCTGGGTCCTCTTCCCCCGACCCGGTTGCCCCAGGCACCCAGGAGTGCTGGGGCTTTGAATGAATGATGTTCTTGCCCTAACACTGCTCAACTGGACTGTGGAGAAGGCAGCCTCTGACCCCTCTGAGAACCTTTATCTGGAAAACAGGGATACGGACAGAGATCCTACCTTCCTGAGCCCGGAGCTTCTACTGATAACCTGCCTGACCTGCCCGTTGCCCGTGAGTTGATTCTCCTGGCCCAAAGGTAATGGGGCAGAGGGGAGGGAAAGGCGGCCCCTTTCCTGGCCCTCCCAGAGAGCCGAGGGCAGAGCCTGCAGTGCCACCGTCCTCCTGGTGGTGACAGCTCCCACACGCCTAGAGCACCCTAGTCACAACTGGACACCCCCCATCACTGCGTGCACCCCAGCCCTGTAAGAGCGGCAGGATTGCATTTGAGGGAGGAGGCGGCACAGGGCAGCTAAGTGACTAAGTGCCCGAGGCCCCCAGCTGACAGTAGTCGCTAAACGGAGTCCCCAAGTCCCGAAGGGCCTGCCCAGGCAGAGGGCCACAGGAGGCCTTGTCCTTCCCGGAGGCTGGAGGAGACAGAAGCCACCTCAGGCCCCCACGGCCCCCGGCTGGTGCAGCCCCGGAACCCCATCCTGAAGCCACCCCCCCACCCAGCCCTATCCTGAAATAACCGTCCCCAAAAGCAGACACAGATGCCAGGCGTGCTATAGGGCTTTTTTAATGTTTCCTCACTGTTTTAACAATATCATGAAAAAAATACACAGTTTAGAATCTGGGACCACCTGGATGGGTTTCAAGGGCAGCTGGCGGGGGCTTCGCCCTCCCCCAGGGCGGGAGCTGAGCTACTACCAACAGAAGCACCAACGGGGCACTGAGTCAGGAGCTAAATTAGTGTCTTAGAATCACGGGCTGGCAAAAAAAAAAAGAAAGAAAGAAAGAAAACGGGAAGCCAGAGCCCCGCAGGCCCCTCCCTAGTCTCTGGGGGCGGTTAGTTCTGCCCCCCCAACTGGCCACGTGGATGCCAGGGAGGCAGGGCAGCTCGTTCCCAGGACAGAAAAGCAGGTGGCAGCCCGCCTCACCCCCAAGCTGCTTTCTGCTCCATCCCCTCGGGTAGAGTTACAGGAGCAGAGTGAAACCTGAATTTCAGGAAAATGACAAATAATTTCTTTGTATAAGTCTGTTCCAAACATTGCATGGGGCATGTTAATATTAAAAAAAAATAAAACAAAAACCATCTTTTGTTTACTTGAAATTCCAAGTCAATGCAGCATTCTGGTTTTTTGTTTTGTTTTTTGCTCTATCTGCCAAAGCTACCCTCAGGGCCCTGGCTTTAGAAATGGGGGCGGGGCCTGGGAAAGGAAGGGGAAGTAGCAGGAGCCCAGGGTGTGGAAGGAGAAGGGGAGGAGGGGAGGGGAGGGGAGGGGGGAGGGGGATGGGGAGGGGAGGGTGCAGCCCCGCCAAGAACAGCTTCCCCACTAGCAATGAAATATTCTTTTAAAAAATCATTCTCCAGAACTTTTCTACACTGGCCTTCTTCAGCTGTTAATATAGCTATGGGGTGGGGGAACAAACACACACAGACACCCCCAAGTAACTCTAAATAAAGTCTGGAAGCACTAAAGTCGAGCTGGTTTCTTTGCCAAAGGACGTCCCCAGACTTAAGTGTGCTAATGGTCACTGTGAATTTCCAACAGGAGACTTAGCGTCAAGGTTCTCTAAAAGGGCTTGCTCTCACTCTGGGGGCAGACCTACTGACCCTGCTCTGATATTGCTCTATTAGGATTTAATCGTATTAATAAGGAATAAGCAAACCCCTAGAGACTGAGCAGCAAGTGCCCCAGCCCCCTGTTCCTAGTGTCACCCTGGAAGGGTCCCTTCTTGAAAATCCAAGAAGCCTGGGGCTTCCCTTCAGTTTTTATCCTGTTCTTGTCCCCTGGAAGGGGCAGCGTTTAGTGTACATGTTGGGGACCGCCGACCGCCCCCCGCCCCCACCCTGGTCCGGCTCAGCTCCAAGGGGCTCCGGGCTGCTGGTGCAGGAGCCAGGGCCCAGGGCCGGGGCAGGTGACCACCCCCTTCCTTCTGCTGCACACGCCTCACCAGCCACCACCACGGGTCCCAGCACAAACAGCAGCAGGGAAAAGGAGAGTCAGGTTGTCCCCAGCCCCGGAGCCAAGGCCGCCTCTGGGCTGGCCTGCTGCAGCTGCAGGTGGCAGGAGCTCAGGGTGACACCGGGCATCTGTTTGAGGCCAGGCTGCAGCAAAGGGAGGCCGAGAGAGGAAAACCGATTCCTACTTGGAGGACACAGCCCTCACCTCGTGCAGCCTCAGGGACGGCAGGGTGTGGCGTCATGAAGCCAGCCTGGCACCGCGCCAGCTCCCCATGTCCCCCTCAGGCCAGGCTGATGTCCCCATCCACGAGGTCCAGGGTCTGTGGCCTGACACACGAGGCTCTTGGCTGCCCCTGCACAGTAAGGTCAAAGGTCACAGAGTGGGGGGCGGGCAGGGAGAAGATGCAGCCAAGCCTTGGAGCCCGCCTCACACGCGGATCTCCTCCTCCTCTTCCTCCTCATCCATGAAGGAGAACTCCTTGTCCGGCTGCCTGGGCAGAGCGGCCCGGGCCCTGTCGGGGCCCCGGAAGGCAGGGCTGCGCTCCTCCAGGACGCCCGAGGTGCAGCTGGACAGGGAGCTGCTGTCCCGCGTGGTGTGGCTGCCCACGCTGCGCGCCGAGCCGGGGCTGGGGGCCGCCGCCGCCCACCCCTCGTCCTCCAGGGCGTGGGGAGGCAAGTCCCGGCCCGCTTTGCCTTCCTGCCGTGCTGCAGGAGGGGGCGCCCGGGCGACAGTGCAGCTGCCACCGGGGCCGTCGTCGCCGTGGCAACTGCCATCCTCCTCCGAGGGGTCCCACTCCTCCCTGTCCATGATGCTGAGGACGTCGCCCAGCATGGACGGCCCCAGGTCGATGTGGAAGGACATGATGGACTCCGCGTGCTTCAGCCCGTAGCCGGCCTTGGGGACGACGGGCAGATCCGTCAGGTCCCCAAAGGCCTGCTCGTCAAGGAGGGGGTCGGGGGAGTGGGGGCCCGTGGCCCCGTTCCGACGGGGCAGTCCCTCCCCCACGCTCGCCCCCTCCCCGCCGCCCTCCCCTCCAGCGGCCTTCTTCACAGGGCTGGACGACAGGCTCTTGGGCAGCTTGCCGGAGCCCTTCTCCGCCGCCTCCTTCTCGTTGAGCTGCGGCAGGGACATGGCGTTCTTGACGAAAAGGGCCGAGTCCCTCAGGGAGCCCAGCATGTCCCTCTGCTCCCGGTCCCCCCTGGTCACCGACTGCGACCGCTTGCTGCCCCGAAACTTGCGGGACAGGAGGCCGCGCTTGGAGGACGAGGAGGGGGCCTGCTCGTCCAGGGACTCGCCGTCGGGCTCGCCGGCCTTGCTGTTGAGGAAGGACGTGTCCCCAAAGGCGTCCCCGGCCCGGCCCACGTGCATGGTGTGGCGGAAGTCGCCCAGCGGGGCGCTGATCATCTCCGCCGTGAGGTCCACGCGGGACCGGCGCTTGGAGTGCACCGAGCTGGACACCAGCTGCTTGAGGATCGGCATCTTGCCGGCCAGCCGGCGGGGAGCGGGGCCTTCCCCAGGTAGCGGGCGGGTTCCGGGTTCAGATGTGAAGTCCAAGTCCGGCGGGTTGTGCGGGGAGTGGCGAGGAAATCATGGGGCTGCAGGAGGCAGAGCACGGGAGAGACAAAGGGTTAGCACCGGCTGGACGCCCAGCACAAAAGCCCATCTTGCCGAGGGGCTGTCATTCAAACCCCAGCTCCTCTACCAAACGCGCAACAAGCCAGCGATCAATGCTAAAACCCTGCCCGTCAGAGGCTCTGCAAGCAGAGGAGTGATTCTGCAGATCTGGTTAGAGTTCCCGTAGGCACAGACACACTTTCCCTCAAACCTGGGAGAGGTTTCATCTTTCTTCTAAAGGGCAGTGCCTCCCCTACCCCTGCAAACCAGGGTGCTGCTTGAGCAAACACAACCCCATCTAAGGACGCGGGGGTGCACACATGTATTCCACGTGGCGCTCCAGGGAAGAGACTGAGTCTGAGTTTGCTCCTATGAGCGGCCAGCCCAGAGATATGCAGTAAGTTCTTTCTGCTGTCTAACCTCCATCCCCCCTTTGGGCTTAGTGGACACGTCAGCCTGAGTCAACAGTCCTCAGAGAGAGAAGGGAACGGACGGACGGGATAGGGCCAGGGAGACAGAGACGCTGCCCGGCTCCTCCGAGTACGTGGGCGGCACGGCTCTCTTTCTGAACAAGAATCGGGGCGGGGCTGCTGGGACCCACAGAACCAGCTCCCCGGCCTTCCCGCCCTTACTCGATGTCCCATAAATGAGGATCTCGTCTGTGACATCTCCACCTCAGGGCCCAAAGCTCTTTGCTGGCCTCTCGGGAGATCAAGACTGATCAAGACTGGGGAACTCCATCCCAGTTTCTTTAACCATCAGGGAAGAGGGAGCCCGTGACTCAGCCCCCCTGGAATCTGCAGCCCCCAGTGATGAACCTGAAATCCACAGAACAGCAGAGGTGGAGCCCAGGAGAGCCTGGAGGCACCACCCCCGCAGCTCTTGGCAAGGGCTAAGATGACTTGACCCAGATGTTACACCAGGCAGGGTAGGGGGAGACGGGTGGAGGGATTTAACCAAGCGTGGTGGGTGAGGGTGGTCTAGACCACCAGGTGCCTCCCTCCCAGTCCTGCCAGCAGCACAGTCCCCAAGGGGCACACTCTGTCCAGGCCCACCCTTCCCGCTGCAAAGCCCAGATGGTGGGTGCCTGGCCTGGGCCGCTTCCTCCACAACCTGCTGCCTCACCCGAGCCCACCTGGCTCCCGACGTCAGCCCGGCGGGTCTCCCTGCCTCCCCGTTTGTCTCTCTCCAGTCCACCCTTCACCTCTTAGCCAGAGCGAGATCCATCCACAGGGGACGCCCAGCCAGTGCAGACCCCTTGACCGGTGACCAGCCCCTGCCTCCTTCCCCAACACTGTCTCTTGCCGCCCCCCTCCCTCCGCGCTCGGCTCCAGCCCCCCAGCTTCTGTGCGGGACACATGCAGGGAACTGCGGCGACACCCCGCCACCTGGCACTCCCTGAGTCCTTCAGGGCTCAGCTGCCAGGAAACCTTCCTCAACTGGGGCAGTCCTCCCAGCCACCTGTCCCGCCCCAGCACTCTGGATGTCCCCTTTGCCGGCAGGCACCTGTTACGCCGCTCCCTCCCGGATGGCTGCCCTGCAATCTCCCCACAGCGCTGCCAGTCCGAGGGGTGTGTTTACCACGCAGTCCGGTCCAGGTCCAGCAGTGCATGCCACGGTCCGTCTTCAAGCACCCAGTGACAGTCCCCTGCCTCCCTCCCACCCTCCCTGTCCCTTCAGCTTCTCCCCTTTCTGCCTTCATTTCAGCACACAGCTCAGCTCCGGGCTCCCCGACTGCCTGCTGTCCTCTCACCCGTCCCTGTCCCCCACACTGTCTCATTCCATGCCAAGCTGCTGCCACCCAGTCTGACGGCTTTTCCCACCAGCAAGTGACCCCCTCCCGATGCCCAGGCACCCACACTGCTCGTCACTCCAGCACACACAAAGTTCCCTGGTGCAGGCGGGGGAGCCAGGCACCGGGGCAGACCTGCCACACAGAACCGGCTGGGGGGACTCTCCTCGAAGGCCTTGAGACGACCCTGTGCAACCAGTCACCAGTCGGCTCTCCCTCCTCCCCACCAAGCCCTTGGAAAGTCGCCTTCCCCTAACCCTAACCGGAATCGTCCCTGGAGCCCCGAGCCTCCTGTCCTACCTCAGTCTCTAAACAATCTGACACCGAACAGCTAGACCAGGGGTGGACAAGCACTTTGCACCAAGGGACACAGTAAACAGTCTCAGCTTAGTGGCTGGAAGGTCTTTGTCAAAGCTACTCAGCCACAGACAGCGGGTACCCAAGGGGGCGTGGCTGTGTGCCAATAAAACTTTATTTATAGAGAGCTTCTGGGTTGCTGAGCACACAGGGGTGCCTGCCGGGAGGGGGGTGCACCCTGGCTCCGCCCCACGCGCTCTCCCATCTGGCTGTGCCCAAGCTGCATCCTTTATAATAAACCAGTCAAAGTAAACAAAATAAGCCCCCAAAGAACCCTACCTTTATTTACAAAAACAAACGATAGGCCGGATGTGGTCCGTGGGCCATAGTTTGCTGACCCCTGAATACACCGTTGTGACCCTCTGGGCCAGCCACGGACTTCTAGGCCAAAGTTTGGGGAAGACTCTCAGGGTTAAACAGGAGGAAGGGGAGGTGGAATCTGCTCCTCAGCCGTGCTGGGCATCAAAGGAAATGAGACCGGGCTTCATGTGAGCTCTCGGTCCTGGCACATCCCTCGGGCTTCTGCTGCCACCAGCCCGGCAGTGAGGGGACAGGGGGGCCTTGTCTCCGCCCCCCCCCCACCTGCAATCCGGCCCCCGGCTCTATGCACAGAATCCTGGAATCTCAGAGCCGGAGGGGTCGCCCTGCACAGCCCCTTCATCTTATGAGATGAGGAGCAGCTCTCTGGAAGCAAAGTGGCTTACCCAGGTTTAGACCCCAAAGGACAGAGCTGGGCGAGGAACCAGCTCTCCTGGTCTGGTTCTTGCCAACCCACTCTGGGCCCTTCTCCGGCACCCTGGTGGTGATGTCACCGGTCAGTTACCATTCCCCGTCGGGTGCTCCCACCCACGGCTGGCTGAGGAGTCCAGAAAAGGGGGCTCTGGCTGCCGCCTCGAGAAAGTTCTTGCAGATTCCTAGAGCAGATTCCAACCCCGTTGATACTTTTGAGTAGGACGATTCTCTGCTGGGGCAGGGGAGGGCTGTCCCGTGCACCGCAGGACGTTCAGCAGTGTCCCTAGCCTCTCCCCGCCAGGCGCCAGCAGCACCCACCCCACAGTCGTGACAACCACAGCTGTCACGAGACACTGCCCAGTGTCCCCAGGGAGGCCAAACTGCTCAGGCTGAGAACCACTGACCTAGAGTGAGGACACACAGGTGGGAACAGAGCAGGCGCCACTCGCCAGGTAAACAGTGGGAAAGCAGAGGCAGAGAGAGGAGGCGTCAAGGGCCGGAACTGGGAGGAAACCGTGACAGGGACCTCCAGGGTTGCGTAAGGGTTTCAGCTTAACGGCAGGAATGCACGGCCAGCGAGCAACGCCACACTCTGTGGTTTCCCCGACCTTAAGTGCTCATTAGAGAGAAGAGAAAGGAAACCGCAGGCCCAGCTGCCCAGAGCTCACCAGAGACGGTGCACACCACGGTGGCCACCAGAGGGGCCACTATGGCTATGTGTGGGGGCGTCCCTGCCATCCCACTAGCCACCCTACCCACCCCCCAGCACATCCTCGTGGGTCAGAAGGGACAGTGGGAAACAGTTAAAATCCACGTGTGGCCTTGCCACATTCACAAACGCCCATCCTAGGCCAGGCCCAGGAACCCCAGGGTCCTGCATGGCCCCACAGCCCAGAGGGGCAGGCGCGGGTCTGCCCAGTGCCATCTGCTTCCTGTGGGTCACGCTCCCTGGGGGAGGGGGGTGGGCTTGTGAAAAGCCGTCTTCAATATCCAGCAGAGAAGGGTCCCAAGAGAGCCAGGGCCCAGATGGCATCACCCATCTGTCCCACCTCCCCAGCGAGGAAGGTTGGAAGGGGTCTGAGTCTCTGGGGTCCTGGCGCTCTGACCAGACAGGCCAAGCGGCAGGCTTGAGGGCCAGCAAGGACTTGCCCAACAGGCTGCTGTGAGTCTGAGTCCTTGGTTTCGCTGGCCCCAGGTGACATCAAGTCACCCTGAGCTCCTAACAGAGAATGATTTTGGGGAGAGGAGATGGAACCTGGAATATCAAAGCAAGCAGGTGGTGACAGCCCTGGCTCCAGCCAGAGGCCTGGGCCGGTCCTGGGGGTGGTGGCAGTTTGGGAGGCTTATGTACCCACCCCAGGAGGGGATTGTGCCACAGGGAGCCGTGGTTCCGGGAGGGGTGACTCAGCTCTGCGGAAGTGGCTGAAACAGGATTCCCAACAACGGGTGGCCACTCCCCCTAGCCTGCCCTGGACAGGACACCCACACCCCACCCCGGAAGCCACATCCCACTTTCCTAGCAGGGCATGGGAAAACAGCTCTCTGCTCTCTCTCTCTGGAGCCTGCGGAGGACCAGATTCCTCTGCCCTCAGCCCTCAGCCCACTGACCACAGAACCTGCCCTTAAAGCAGGAGTGGCCAGCCCTCCTGCAAGGCCAGGCCCCCAGCTGGCTGGATAGCAGCCACACCCTCAGCTCAGCCCCTCTCCTGGGACCATAGCAGACTGCCCTCGCCTTGCCTCCCTGGCAGGATGCGGGGAGCAGAGCCCTCCCAGATCGGCCAGCCTCGCAGCCCCAAGGCAGAAGGGCAGGCTGGACCAACGCGTCCTGCTCCAAGTGCCCAGGCAGGGGCCCGTCCCTGGTAGCCCAGCCCGAGGCAGGAGCCAGACCTGAGCTCTCCCGGGGCAGCCAGGCAGGCCTCCCTCTCTGCAGCTGCCCCGAGGCTCACCCCGGTACACAGAGAACACATGCCTCAACGCCCACCGCCACTGCCGCCCACCGCCACTGGCCCGGTTGTCCTACCCATCCACGTGACACCAGGTCCAGGCAACGTGGCTGGGTGGAAGAGGGCTTCTGGCACATGGTGACTTGAGTCGTGACCTGGATTGGCTACAAGAGGCTCTGTTCGTTTGCTTATCATTCTTTCTTTTGTTCATTCATTCATTCAGTGCCTTCCTGCAGACCCACCCATATTCACACACTCTTCTAGGCCCTGGAGATGGAGCAGGGAAGGTGACACACTGCTTTTCCAGGGTGCACATGCAGTGCGAGCGTGCACAGGTAGGGATGGAGGTGTAAACTGCTAAATAAAACAGTGCCTGGTATTCCTCAGCTTAACAAGGGAAATGGGGTGATGTGAGCAATGGGGTGGGAGTTGGGGGGCTCTTGGAGAGGCCCCTAAGAGGAAGGGGCAGCATGAGCTGAGAACCGAATGGTGAGGAGCCAGCCGTGTCAAGAGCAGTCTAGGCAGGGGGAACGGCACGTGCAAAGGCCCAGAGGTAGGGACGAGCTTGCGGCGTTTGAGGGACAGAATGAAAACCCATGAGGCCAGGGGCCAGAGCATGCAGAGCCCCCATCCGACCAGGTGAGCAGTCTGCATGTCATAGCAGGTGCACAAGGAAAACGATGGCCGTGCGTAAGCAGGCGAGTGATCCGATCGGAAGCTCCCGGCATTGCAGGCTCGAGGGCAGGAAGCAGGAAGTCAGTCAGCAGGAGGTGGTGGAAGTTCAGCTCAAAGAGGAGGGAGGCCAGGATGCAGGTGTGGCCAAGGAGGACAGTGGGGGACATATTCGGGCCACGTCTTCTCTTGGAGGCAGAGGCGCGAGGGCCTGCTGGGGGCCCAGATGAGGGACAGAGAAAAGTGGGATCACAGGGGACTCCAGGCCTCCCAGGGGCTGCTCCAGATGACCTTTCCCAGCCGGGGGTCTCACCTGGCAGGCCAGAGCCCTTTCCCACAGGGAGGGGCCCGCGTCCTACCTAACTCCGCCAGAGCAGTGGTGCCTGCTCTGCTACACGCCCTCGGTCAGCTGGGACGACGTGCTGAAGCGGGCCCTGCAGGAACTCAACGGAACACGGGCCACAAATCTCTCAGAGTGAGGGGCTCTGGCTTTTGTCACCAGAGGAAGATGGATGCTTTCTGGAACACTCACCAGCCTTCTGCTGCAAAGACAGGAAGGCCCGGGGAAGGTGGAGACTGTTTTATTCTAACGGCGGGGCAGGGCCGAGGGCAGCTAAGTGAATGGGAGAGAACCGTGGCTGCTTCGGAGGACGACGGTGACAGGGCCTGTGCTGTGATTTCAGCTGACTTCGCTACGACCTGGAGTCTTTCAGCTCCTTCACGTGTCCTGCCAGGAAGCCCTCCCCCCTGCAAGCGTGATGTTTTGCACACTCAGTGTGAGGTTAAGGCTCATGTCTTAAAATACTCTGAGCCCTGGATAGCCACGATTAATAATAATAATGACAATAATAAAGTGCCCAGGATGGGACCAACTGGCGTTAGATGCCACCAGGAGGGGAGCAAGTTACAAAACCCGGACCCAAGAGCTGCTCTGAGTCAAAAGGACCCCAGGATGGGGTAGTCTCGAGGCACCTGCATCTACGGCCAAGTTCCTTCAAATAACGGCTTTAAAACTAGTATGATCCAGCCACCTCCACGTGGAGAAACCGAGCCCTATGGAACTGCTGTCAAAGGAGGGAAGAAGTCACACGGGGACTTGCTGAAGCCTTACTTACACCAGCGAAAGACTGGAAACAACCTAATGTGCAACAATGCACGGACGGCCACGAAGGCCGGGAGCCGGGACCTGGGCACAGCCGTGACCTTCGTGCGGTCGCGAAGGCCGGGCAGAGCCCACGCCGCGACGTGAACAGCGCTCACCGACGGCAGTGAGTGGAAGGGGGAAGAAAGGCGGACACACGCTTGCTCACACACGGCGGTCCCAACTCTACGCAAGCCTGCGTCGGTGAACAAAGACGAAAAGTGCGTGCACAGAGAAGCAAAGCGCCGTTAGCCGTGAGAGGAAAACAGCCTGCTTTAAGTTTCCTTTCATGTGGCAGTGCAGTTTTAATAAAAATTAAAAAAAAAAAAATCCCAAAGCATCAAAGGCTTAAGGAAAAGGCATTCGTTTCAAAACTGTCCAGTTCTCTCGGCTCGGCAGCTGAAGCCGGGTACAGGGCCCCCCGACGGGGGCCGGGTGGGAAGGGGGCTCCACCCACACTCTGCCCCTCTCGTGTCTGAAACTCTCCTGCCGACCTCTGCTCTCTTTCTCTTCCTCCTGCCCAGCCGCCCCCAAGCCGGACACGTGTATTAGGTCCGCATTTCGTTCCAGGTTGTCCGGGAGGAGAAAGTGGGCCGTCTACAACAACCCAACAACCAGGGAAACGGGGAGACTAGGACCATATTCCCAAAATCCAAAATAAAAAAGGACTCACTCTCCAACAGCTGCTTCCTGACGCAGGAGCCTTCTCCACTGAGCAGGAGATGAGGGACCACGCTCACTCCCACCCCACCGGACACTGGCCTGTGTCCAGTGACACAGAAGCTCCGAGCTGGAGGCAGCCCCCTACGTAACAGGGGGGGTCTCTCAGAGACATCCTGGGCAGGTGGAGGTTTTGCTCCTGCTCCACCTACAGCCCCAGCTGGGCCGGGCTGGTCACTGCAGGAGGACAGGGGTCACGCAAGGGCAACCAGCGCCCGCCCACTGGCCAACCCCCAGGCTGTGCACAGAATTATCGCTACTGCCAACAGTTGCCGTTTATTGGGTGTCTGATGCATGCCAGGCATTGTGCTAGCGACAACATAAACTCATGTCGTCCTTGAACCTCAAAGCGACCCTGCAAGGAAGGTCCCATGATTGCTCCCATTTTATTATTTTATTTTTATCTGCCTTTCTTGTCTGTAAGCCCCCATTTTAAAGAGAGGGAAACTGAGGCTCAGATGGAAGTGAATCCTTTGACACACTCTAACGGCTTTCAAACGGTGGCTTGAGCCCACTGCTGCCAGACCCTGGGACACACGGTTTTCCCCACGAGGCGAGGCTGCCTGGCCTGTGCAAATGTCCACAGCGGAGGACCTGCGCACGGAGAGACAGGCAGGAGGGGCTGGGGAGCCCGCTCCGCTTATCTAAGACTCCTGGAACTGCCTCCATGTCAGAGATCTGCCCCCAGGACAGCTGTATCTGAAGCCTCCTCAAGGGAGACTCCTTTTACCCAGGGCCCTATTCCCACTCCCTGCTCTCGGGATCCTCCCCAGGTTCTGATTCCCTGGCAGGTGAGGGCTGGGCGGATCGCCCCAAAGCAGAAGCCAAGACTCCTCCGGCATAGCCGGGAAGTGGGACCCCGCGAGTCCCGGCTTCCGATGTTGTCACGTCCGCTCTGCTCCAATCTCTGCCTTGCCTTCTTTGGTCGGTCCAGCTCCCAACAGGGAAGACCAGAACCCTGACCCAACACAGCTCTTGAATCCTCCAGGCTGGGTGCCCTGAGCTCGCTCCACCCTCGCTGTCTGCCAGCCCGTGCAGGCCAGGCTTGTCGACGCAAAGGTGCCAGTGCCCAGCCACGCTGGGGCAGTTCCCACTTCCTAGAGAGAAACACCCTCTGCTCTGGAGGCCCCAGCCTGGAAGGAAGAGAAGGAGGCAAGGCCCCATGTTCCATTACCTGTTTCCCACCGACGACGCACGTTCCCCAGGCATCCCTGCTAGGGGTGGGGGCGCAGGGGGCCAGGAGCATGCTGGGGAGGGTGGGTCTTTGCTATCGACCAGAGCCGGGCTCACAGGGAGAACTGGACCAGGAAGAGAGCGACAGTGCACAGCAGAACTTCCCAGCTACTTCTCCTTCCCGATGCCTCTCCCTGGCTCATTCAGTAACTGACACCTGCCCTGTACAGTAGGGAAGCCACTGGCCTCACGTGGCCATTGAGCACTTGAAATGTGGCCGGTCCAAATGCAGAAGTGCCCAAATGTAAACTACACACTGGATTTCAGAGACTTAGTGTGAAAAACATTGTATTTTTAAGACATTAATGAGGTTAGTCTCATTACTATTTTCATATTTTACATTGATACGTTAAAATAATTTTTTAAATATGGTGGGTTAAATAAAATGCTCAATTCATCTATTTCCTTGAAGTTTTTAAAAATGCAGCTGTTATAAAAATGTAAATTTATGTATAGGACTTGCACGAGGCCTCTCAGATAGCACGGATTTAGGTATTTTCCTCTTATTTCACTAGCAGCACTTTCCACTGTAGGTGGATGAATAAAGCCAGCCATTGTTCACATCTGGGTCAAAATGTTTACACGCTAACAAATCATGCTACGTTACTTTAAATCAAGTCCCAATATCTAATTTTCACATCCAGTCCGCCACTGATGAATGCTTGTTTGTTTCAGTCTTTGAGGCTCTATAACTAACCTTTCAGTGAAATATGTCCATGCCCTTAACTACTTCCTGAGGATACATTCTTATAAATGAGCAAAATTACTCTTATTTCTTATCGGGAACTTGTTCTTTGGAGGTTATGCCAAGTTAGCCTCACAAACGTTGGATGATGGTGTGGAATATCAGGTGTTATATTTTCTTTCACTGGGTTGAAAACAACAGCCACGCCTCCAACCCCATAACACTTGTAATTTGTATTCCTTTTGATCACTAATGAGGGTGTCTTTTCTCTTGTGTTGTTGCTTATTGAACCCTTTTGTCCATTTTCCTACTGGGGGTGGGGGCTTCACCTTTTCCCAATAGATTCATGTGACTTCTTTAAATGTTAAAGCTACTTAAATCTTTGACAGTCATATTTTGCAAATATTTCCGCAAATTTAGCATATGCTTGTTTACATTATGGTGATTTTATTGCTTTCTTTCCCTTGGAGTGCTGGTTAATTCTTACATGGTCTAATCTGTTTATGGTTTCTGGCTTTAATATCAGGAAGCAAAGACCTTCCCTACCCCCAAGTTTGTGTGGCAAAACAGGAGGAAATATAGCAAATTAGAGATGTCTGTGCCTTACACAATTGCGGGTCGCTTAAAATAGAAAAAAATAATAAAGTAACTTTAGTTACTGATTCTTTATAAAATTAATTTTGTTTTAAAATGTGGACAAAGTGTGAAATGCTACCTTTATCATGCACTAAATTTTTTATGATACCACCCAGCCATGGGCCTATTCCCAGACACCCTTTTATGTTCCTTGGTCTCTGTTTATTTCTAAACCAGGTCTATGCCGTCACTATGTATGGTACGTTTTGAGTACTTGGTAGGGTAATACGCCTACTTTAACATTTTTTCTAAAATGCTCTTGGCTTTTCTAATCTACTTAGTCTTCCAGATGGACTTTAGAAACATTTTATTAAGTTCCAAGAGAAATCCTGATGGATTATATTGGAATTGAAAGAAAACAATAAATTAATCTGGGAAAAACTGACTTTATCACAACATTAATTCTTCATATCCAGGTATTCAAGTCTTTTAGACATTCTCTATTAAGTTTTGTGGGTCTGCTTCCTACAAGTCTCACCCATTTCTCCCCATGTTTACTCTGGGTTATTTTTGATCTCTTGTTGCAAATGGGTTTTGCATACTTATATTTACATACTTAAATGTATGTACTTACATACTTATTTTCTGACTGGCTATAGCTGGTACATGGGGAAGCTGCCTTTTCTTCCCCTTAATGTATTTAATGGCCACCCCCCCAAAAAAACTTACACTGCCTTGCACACTCTAGTCAACTTTATGATTGAATCTTTTGGGCTTTGCAAGTAGACAAGCCCATCATCTACAACTAATAATAATTTTGGGCTGGGAACAGTGGCTTATGCTTGTAATCCTAGCGCTTTGGGAGGCCGAGGTGGAATTGCTTGAGTCCAGGAGTTTGAGGTTGCTGTGAGCTATGACGACGCCACTGCACTCTAGCCCAGGTGACAGAGCAAGACTCTGTCTCAAAAAAAAAAAAAAAAAAAAGACTCAGATATTCTCCATCATCTTAAGGAATTTATAATTCTTACAGTTTATAGGAAAATGATGCCAATAACTCAGCCAGACTGAGTTATGGGAAAACACATTATGGCTTGGATACTTTACCCTTTTGTTCCTGGAAAACATAGAATAGGGAGCCTAGTCTAGTTTAAGCAGTGACTTGTAATCAAGAACATTCTGGAATAATGTCTCCCAATGTCAGTCCAGACAGACGCTGCCGAGACGGTGCGCTAAGGAACCCACTCTGGGAAATGCTCTGGCAGACCCTGCCCAGCCTCAGGGGGATAGGCCCTCCTTGGACTGTGCAGCAACTATTCCTGGGCCATAGGTCGCAGAGAGGAAGTACAAGAAAGAATTTAAGATTTACAGCACCAGGCATTGTGCTATAGATGCTTTTCTTTGATTACACTGCTTTTAAGAAAATGTACAGCAATACACTGGCCTGCGCATTTGAAAGACTTTATCTCACGTATTGTTCCTAACAATCCCACGGATGGAGGTTATCATCCTCATCCCCATGCTGCAGATAAGAGAACTGAGGCTCACAGAGATAAGTGATCCACAGTTGGCGAGGACAGAGCTAAGAGCCCAGATGTGCCCCATTCTGAACTCTGGGCTTTTTCCACCCCACCCTAGGGAATGTCAGGGTGAAGGCTGGGAGGCACAAACACCCGCAGGACGCACACAGTCTGCATGCAGTGTCAGGTTAACATCCCCCGGGCCTGGCCACCCCATTCCCCACCGCTCCAGGGAAAAGTACAGATTAACGCTGGGAAACACAGACCCCAGGACCCCACCCCCAGAGGCCCATGCCGTTGGGAACCCCTGCTCCTAACTGGCTGGCATCGGCCACTCTCTGCCAGGCTCCTGCATGTCTGCCGGGGAGCCCACCTCCGTCCCTGTCCCAGAGCCAGATGCTGCGGGCCAGGGGAAGGACGTCAGCGGGACAGTGACAGAGAAAGCTTTGCCCACCGCCTGGGAATTAGAACAGCTCAGAGAAAAGAGGAGAAAGGAGCCAAGGCCCGGGAGTGACCGGAAGCAGACAACCTCGGAGTCAAGACGGTGAGGAGCCAGTGACTCAAGGACATCCGGCAACTCCGCTTGTTTACAGGGCCCTTCCTGGAAATGCCCGCTTCCCGGCGCCTGTCACCCAGCAGGAGCCACCTCACGAGGGGTGACCTGGGGAGGCGGGAAGAGTGCGGGGCGGATCTCCCTCCTCTGCAAGCCGCCCCACAGCTCCTGCTCCGATCTCAGAAGGAAGCGGCTGCACTGGAAATCAGATCTGCCAGGCCCTGTTCGGTTTCACTTTGTTTTTCCTAGGAGTCAAGTGCTCAGCTGAGGAGCGGGGAGTTTGAGAACACTCTGGGGGCGTCTCTAGAGGGACACCTGTGGATCTGGACTCACTCCAGAGCAAGGCGGGCAAGTCTCCCCAAGAGCCAGACGCCCCTGGTCACTAGCTGGCTCGCCACACTGGGCACTTCATTTGTGCCTCAGTTCCCTCCTGAGCTTCCAAAGCAATGGATAACATTATGCACCTCTGCGCATTGTTGTGGGGATTAAATAAACGAATATATGGGAAGCACTCTGCACAGCGCTATGCTCGGGGTGAGCATTACTACGTGCGTGCTGTGAACATGACACTGTCATGTCCTCTAGGGAGGTCTGGGGGAGAGTTCCAGCAAACCCAGTGACACTCCGGCCACTGTGACTCCCCTAAATTCAAAAAGGGCACATATCCGGGGCCACCCAATACAGAAGGCTCCAGGGTGAGGCATGGGCTGACCCCTTTCAAAGTCCCCAGACTACCCGTCGCAGGGAGAAGGGTCCCCCAAGCTGCTGAAGCCGGGCACAGTCTTCAGCCCTCCCTCTGCAGTCCCGGCCAGCAGTGGGGCTGGGCAGCCCTCTGACTTGGTTCCTTTTTCTGATCTGACTTGTCCCCTCCCTTCCTCACCTTTTAACCTTTAATGATATAGATGAAGGAGCCTGGTTTCTCTCCAACAAGGCTTAAGCTCTTTCTGATTTCGGTATGATAAGGATGTTGAGGCGGAGGTGGGAAAAGAGAAACTCTCCCATTCCCCCTCCCCAGGATAAGGGTAAAAGATAACTCTGGAATTTTCAGGACCCTGGGTGCTACTAGCAACAAATAATGCAACAAACAAACAAACACTTCAACATGATAACCCACCAGTAAAACATAACTTGCTCCTTTGGACCAAAGCAGATGCTCATTAGCGGTGAACACACATTGCACAGTCACCTGGGTTCCTCCTGGGCTCTCTCCTCCTGGGCTCAAGCCTTAAACCCAACCCAAGAGCGGGAGGGGCAGGCCCCTTTCAGATGCTTCGGGGACATTTTAAGCAAAGGAGAAGGGGACCCAAGTGGGGCCTTGAAGGTGTGAGTTTGCAGGGCAGAGAGGCTGGAACACAGAACCTGGCCTCATTGTCACATTTGGGGAGATCCAAAGCTGAGGTCTCCAGACCAAGTTCACTTACTGCAAGAACTTCATGGGCACAGCCAACAGGAGAACCCAGAGGCTCACCCAGGAAGGCTGGAGGCTGTCCCAGCTGACCTCCTCCGCCACCCTGGTGGCCAAGGCAGAAGATGGTGGCCACAGGGGCTGTGACTGAGCAGAGATGCCTGAGCAGAGAGCGTTCTTGCCCTGGCACTGTTGATTTTCAGATGCATTCAGGCCCTGGGGTGCAGGAACGAGGGGGAAACACCAGGTGTGCAGAGCATTTCTTATTATAGGACAGGTAGGAACTGTAAGCCTTCATTCATGCACACACCCCAAAATGCTCTCACTGGAGCCCCCAAAAGGGAGACCCTTCCTCAGCTTGGGAGGCTGAGTGGAGACCACCAGTTCCCCCGTTCCTGGCAAAGGAAGGCTTTGGATGCCAGCGTTGCCACCTTGGCACGGAGCCCAGAGCTGCAAGCTGGCAGTGCCTGGGGGAGACTCCAATGTGCGTTAGTTGGAGGGAAGCCCAACGCTCCTCAAGGAGGCGAGTTTTAAGCTGGAGCTTCAGGGGCACAGCGAGTAGGAATGTGGGAAACTAATGGCTGAGCTTCCTTCCCACGCACTGCGAGCAAAGAGGGCTGTGTCCAGGCCTCACGGGTCCCTCTCCACACTACCGTCCAAGTTTCCTGCCCAGAGAGGGCTGGCAGGGGCTTAGCCTGCCTGGAGCACCCCAGAAGTACTGGCTAGACTTGGCCTTTAGGACACTCTGCCAAGTGACCCCTCAAAGTGTCCCCTGGCACCAGAATTTGGTCCCCCCCACCCCCAGGTCAAGGAAAAATCCAGTATGCAAGTCAGAAGACCTAAGCTAAGCACAGGTCAGCTCTCTCTGCTTCCAGGGCAGAATTGCTCAACCCTTTTCCCTCCGCCCCCAAGCCTTATCTCTGGCATCAACCCAGCTCCCTGTTCCTCCTAGGGACAGACTCTCCCTCCCTCCCACCCTTGCAGGGACAAGCTCCTCTGAGTCTGCGGAACAAGAAGGTCCAGCCAGAGAAGTCTAGAGTTGCTACCCAAGAGCGATCCTGGACACTCTGGCTTCTGACGCCTCCACTTCCAACCCAAACCAAATGTGGGGTGGGGGCGGGGGAGCGAGAAACGGAGAGGCCACTATCAAACACCTTGCTCGCCACACCTGGGCACAGCCTGGCCTGGCCACAGAAATCAATCAACCACTCCAAAGGTGGAGGGGGCTGGAATCTCGGAACCACAGCCAAGCTCAAGCCCTTCTGGGATAGCTCCTGCCTCATCAGGAAGGGTCTAAGGTTCCTGTCCCAGGTCAACATCTGCCCGCCCCACCCTACCGGGCTTTACAGATGAGACCCCCACCTCCCCCTGCTTGTGACTCCCTGGTCTCCAGCCTGGAGGCACTGTCACTTCTAGAGGCAGCAGGATGGAAGTGGGCTGGGGACGCACACAGGATGGGGACAAGCACCGGTGGGTGGGCACATGCAAGAGATAAATAGGGGGAAAGATGGGTTAAAAAAAAGAGAAAAAGGCAGAATCCCCAGAAAATGGAAGAAATGCTCACAGTGGAGGCCTGAGCTACAGAGTACAACATGAGCCATCCGTCCTCGAGGCCCTGTGAACCAGCGGAGGGGCAGAGACTCACCATCACAGGCTCCCGATATCACACCGGCCCCTCCTAGTCCCTGCAGGGACCACCAGGACCCCTGGGAAGACCAGGAGAACCCACTTGGGATCCCCCAGGGCTCACCGGGCCCCCTCCTGTGGGAAGGAGCAGCTGTCCTCAAGGAGTGGAGAGGCAAAGTCCAAGTTCGGAGGAGATAAACTGCCACACTACCCAGTCACGTGGGCAGCTGGTGAGAGCAGGGCACACACCGGGCACTCCCACACAGCAGGGTCCCAGCTGCCCAGCAGGGATGGGGCCTCACGAGGCCCTGCTGGGTGCCCCATTACTGCCCCAGAGCCCCGGGGCTGCTGAGCCTGGCCGGCCTGGCTCCCTTCCAGCCAACTCCCCAGTTCTGGGAGGAACCCGCAGCAGCTCAGCTCCCTTCCTTTGTGCCCCGTTCTTTGTTCTCTTAAAATTCAGTCCATCCTACCGGTGGTCCCTCCTCCACCCCAGCCTCAGGAAGGGGGCGGGGGCTGCGGGGAGTTATTAGAAACCCAGACTGCACACAGAAGTTGCAGCGCGGGGCCCCCTGTAATGGGCCCTCATTGTTCACACTCCCGGGACCAGCAGAGCTGTGTCTGGGCCAGATGGCCGCTGGGGTGGGGGGGGACCTCTTCCTCCACTACGCAGCCCCTCCAGGGAGGGCAGGGACCCTCACAGCAAAGGGACTCCCAGGGACTCTGCGCTGATGCAACTGCTCAGCTCCCTGGGCCAAGAAGGGGCGCTAGCAACCCGGGCAGGGATGTTAGGCAGCCAGTCAGACTGCAGGAGGTGGGGCCAGTGGGGGGGGTGAGAAGTTCCAGAGACAAGAAAAGAAAAAGCATTGTGTTTCCCCTCCACTCTCCCAGGGAGAAAAGAAAAACTTCCAAAGGCCAGGCCACAGTCATCCGGCAAACACAAGGAACCTGGTTTGAGTTAGCAGCGAGCACCCTCCCCCTCTCTCTCTCTCTCTCACACACACCACTCTTCTGTACACACACACACACACACACACACACACGCACGCACACACTTCTGTCCTCTCCCGGGAAGCGGGCTCAGCCCCGGCCCTCCAGCCGGGGCTCCCGGTTCCCTCCCGGCTCTCCAGCCCCCAGGCTGGGGCACTCACCGGCGGCCGCCCGGCTCCGGGACAGGCAGGACAGCTCCTGGGGGACGCGCGAGGGCCAGGGGGCAGTTTTGTACCCCCGACTGGGGACGCTCCAGGGAGGGGGCGGAGCCAGGGACAGCCGATCTGAGTCCAACCGCCCCCGGGGTGGATTAAATCATTAACCGACCGCTCCCCGTTCGCGGCGCACCGGGCGCGCGGCCCCGCGCGAGGCCGGTTCCCCGGCTCCAAACGGGCGGCCAGCTCGGCCGGGCCCCACCCCGCCGGGAGGCGCCGGGGCCTCTCGCGGCTGCGGCCTCCAGGTCTTCCGAGGGGGCGGGCGGGGCGGAGCCGGCGGGGGGAGGGCTCGCGGGGCAGGGGGGGGGAGGGGAAAATTGGTTTCTTCGCCCATTCCCGTCCAGGCAGCTCCTTCCCTCTTTCCTCCCGGGCCTGGTGACACCGGGTGGCGTGCGCTGCAGTGTGTACGAGAGCGAGAGCGTTTGTACACGCCTCCGCCACTACAGGCGAATAATTCGGTTCTCATCCACCGGGAACTCAGTGCGCACGCACGCCCCCCTCGGGGAGGCCGCGGGTCGCGCGCTGCCGATTGTTGCGCTCCGGCCCACACCGACACACACCCCATTCCCGGGCGGGGGGGTGGCCCTCAACAACCCGCCCCCCTCCATCCCGCCCCAGCCTCAGCAGCGCCCTCAGCCAGGCCCGCGAGTCCCAGACTGGGGAGAGGAAATCGAGTCCCGGAGACCCTGCGCCCGGCCCTCGGCCGCCCCCTCCTCCCCAAAAGCCGCTCTGCCGGGACACGGGTGTGCGGCGCCGGGTCCCAGGCACCCCAGCCGGCCCCACGTGCCCTGGCCCAGCCCTGCCACCCTGGGGCGGACGCGGAAGAGCGGGGGTCCCTGCGCCCTTCTCCCCTCCCCGCGGCCCCGCATCCCCGGCTTTTTCTATCCTCTCCGCCCCGTAGCGGGCATAGAGCCCCCACGCTGAGCCCACCCAGGCCTCGCAGGGCGCGGGCGGCTGTCCCGGCCAGAAGCGGGTGCTCGTCGCCTACCTCTGTCCCCAGAGACCCGGGCGCTGGGCGGGCGCGGCTGCGCTACCCCCTCGGTGGGCTCCGCGCGGCAGCAGGGCTGGCGGCCCATGTCATCGCCGGCGTTTGTCTCGCCCTGGCGCTGGGGCTTTCAGGGCTGGCGGCCGCCGGGACACTCCCCTCCCAGGCTCCGCCCGCGCCCGCCCCCCGCACCCCTCTGCGCCGGCGTCACCGCGCCGCCGCAGCCAATGGCCTGCCCGAGCCTCGTCCCGGCCGCTCGGCCTCCCGCGTTCAAATCTGAAAGCCAGAGACTCTCCGAGCTCCTCGTGGGGTGGCTGGGCCCGCCCGCCTTCCGGGGACCCCCTCCCCCAGCCTGCGCTCCGGCCGCGAAGCCCCTCTGGGGTCCCCAGGGCCAGTGGCGCGTCTCCGTCCGGGCCCTGGCTCAGGCTCTCTTAAGGCTCTTCCCCATTCTGCGCGACGACGAGAAACCAGCCTGGGTGGCGGTTCTCCTTCCTGTTCCCTCCGGGGCCTGCCAGTCACCTCCTGGCCCCAGCACTGACCCAGAGGGAGCGGGAGGCCCCGCGACGCCAGATTCGCGGATTCCATCCCACACTGACCGGAGACGAGAGGGGGTGGGGAGGAGCCGGCCCCCCCAGGGCCGGGCCTGGGCCTGGGTGTGAGAGAGGTCCCAGCGGGGTGACCTGTCTTTGATCGCCCTGCGGTCTGCGGCTTTTACCTCCAAAGTATCCGCTGAGGCTAAATTTTGCTCCAAGTGAACCTCCAGGGTGATTAACTCTTGAGTCCCAGGCCTCGGTCTCTAGTCTTCTTAGAGGAATACTCTCGGGTTGTAAATGATCATTGCAAGTGAAAAATGCCACGAGTGAGATTCTGGACACAAAGGGACAGTTCCCTTGCCGTTAGCAACCCCCCTCGTTTTTGAAGGGGGTGGGTGAGGGAAGGCTTCAGATTCTTTTACGACAGACAGTGGTCCCCTGGGAACAGTGTGCTTTCCGGGGCGAGACACCTGGGCGAGAAAGTTGGGGTTCAGAGCAATTTGGGAGGCAGACACGAGTTCACTCTCTGGCTGGGGTGCCGTGGGGAAGCCACTCACCCCGACCTCCCCGCCCTCCGGAGCCTGGATCGCCTTGTGTGGCCAAGAAGCCGTGGGGTCCCCCTGCAAGCGGCATCTGGGGAGGCTGGGGAGAGGAATGAGGTGTTAGCTGTGAAAGGCTTTGTGACTATAAAACAGCCGCAGTGGAGTAGCTTGTTGTGATTTGGGGGAGGCAAAGGTGTCCTCAGAAGACACAGGAGCTGCAACAGGACTCCGGGAAAGGCTGGTCGGAAAGCGGATTGGATGCACCTCTGGCTTGGAATTCCAGCTGCCACAGGTACGAGCTGACAAGTCATCCACCAGCTTCCCCACCTGTAAAATGACAGCAGTCCCCGCCTTCCCCTGTTGGGGTGAGTGCTAAATGAGATCACCTAGAGAAGGCACCTGGGCATTCGCTGGGCACATGTGGCCCCCAGTGGGTCCCTACCCACTGGTGCTCCCCCCATCGGTCCCAGGTGGATGTCCTCGCCATTCCTGGCGTCCCAGGACCTTTTCCTCTGGAAATCACAGCTTCGGTCTTACCTGTTCCACAAAAATCCTCCCTGATTTTCTCTGAGACACCTCCCTCTTTCCCATCCCCTTTTCCATTTTCAAATAAATTATTTTGTTTTCTTAGGGCTAGCTGTTAAGAATTTGTTTTCCTTTTTGCAAGTGTTCTGATGTCATATCAGTTAAAAATGCCTCTGGGACAGAGACTTTAGGTCCCTTTGTAATTCTTCTGCTCCTTATCCAAATTCAGGCTCCTTCCACAAACTTTTAGCTCAGTAGAAGCCTGTAGACTGCAGCCTAGCACTCTGGGGGAGACTTGATTAAAAGAAAGTGCTAATTTTCTTTGATGTTTGGAATCCCAGACCTGTGAATTTCTTTCCCCAACTGCAGATAAGTTTTGCTCCAACCTTTTAGGCTAGAGCCTTTTATGGGCAATGAGAAGAAATTAACAAGATAAAAAACTTGAGGCTGGAATACCTACCTTGAAATTTCTGGCAAGCTCTTAGCCCCTGACTTCAGGGAGGGATTTGAGGTCTTAACTGCACCCTTGGTGTAACCTGACCTATAAGCCTTTAGGCCTAGGCGTGTGTCTCCACCTGTCTGGGGCTGCTGGGGCCTGCCTCTGGGACTTGGGCATGCATGATGCCTGCAGCCTCCTGGGGTTGGCCCCCCATTAATGTGCACCCCCATGCAAATACACACATATCTCCCTGTGTTTGTTAACGTTGGGTTCTGGGCATTTAGTTCACATTATTTTGAACCAGCCCTTTGAGGTTGGTTAAGAGGACGGTGAATCCTATTTTCTTGCAGGGAAGTTTGAAGCCCTGCTTATTCTAGTCTGGCCTTTGCCATAAAGTGTGACTCTGGGTAGCTCATGCCTTTTTGAAATAAGCTGAGCTCCAAGACCACTTCCCACGAGAACACTCTATGACTTCCTGTCACTGTCCTGAGTTCCCCTTCCCGCTACTGAGGTGAGACATCAAGTTCTGGACTGGTCACCTGAAGGTGTCATCAGGGCTTGATGTCAGCACAGTTTGGGGTGGGGCCTTGGTGACCTAAGTCAGGAGCCATAGCTCGAGGCCCGGCCCTGGGCTATGCTCTCCCATGCAAACTGGACAGAGACTCTTTCACTCCTTACTTCCCTGTTCTGGGGAACCACCTGGAGCCCTTTCACGGGGTTAGGCCGACCTCTGCTGAGCAGCTGGGAAAGTCCTGAGGCCACCAAGCTGCTGGCAGAGTGCCTGGAGCCTAGGGCAAGAGCCAACCCACTACCATGGGGAAAAGTACCTGTGTCTGGGGGCTCTTTTGCACCAGGTTTCAAGTGCATAACCCCAGTCCTCTGAGGGAGCTAACACGCGTCAGGGCGCTGGGGTAGCTGGTACATACTAGAGAGTAAGGCAACAGGTTTTCCCCTTGGGCTCCTTGGGGACAGCATGATGTTCAGTTCGTGCTGGAATCTCCCAAGTGCATTGCCACAACGAGTATTTGCTAGAAGAATGGATGAGCAGAGTGCACGGTCTATGCCCTTCCCTCCTTCCATTTGCAACCCCAGCTCGGACTGAGCTCTGTTTGGCCACCTCCTCCACGGGATGAGTTTTGCTGGCCTTCCACAGGGTCACACATCCTCCTAGACTGGCAATCCTGATGACTCAGGAGGTGAGGGAGGCTGCCGCATCTCAGAGGACCCCTGGCCCAGAGAGACGCTGGTCACCAGGCTGGGGCCTCTCTGGGGGTAGAAGGTGACAGTAGGGTTGAGCTGGGCCCAAAGGAGAGATGAGGGGGGTGGAGGGGTGGGAGCAGAACAGAGATGTCATGGAATTTACCAGACATGAGCCCAGATGTGGAGATCAGAATACCTGGGTTGTACTTACTAGTTGTGTGACCTCAGGGGCGTCACTCGGTCCCTTCGAATCTTATCTGTGAGGAGGGCACACTAGGAATTCAGATCACAGGAGGTTAGCGTAAGGACTGGAGGAGACAGAGCTGTGATCTTGCTTTAGGAGCTGTCAAGTCCAATGGAAAGCCCCGGTTACTGTTGTTGCTAAGTCAAGCTTTAGGCTTCTGGGTACCGTGGCTGCTCCATCTCTCTGCTGGGGAAAGGAACAGGCAGTACAGGCCCCCCGCCCCCCACGCCACACTTGGCAGTTCTGTCTGTCCCTGAGCATTATCATGTTATTAACACGCTGCCCTGGCCACTGATCTGGGACCTTTCCAGGAAAGCAGAAGATGATATTTAATTTCTTGTTTATCCAGGAGGGAGAAAAGCATGGATAAGAACGATGCAACCAAAGCTCTGGGCTCCTGAGAAAATCAGTGTAGACTTCCACGGACGGCAGGGACAGTAAGTCTGCAAGCAGGGCCCCTGGAAGGAACGTTCCCTGTGAACCCTAGATTTCTGAAGCCCAGAGCTTCGCTTGCCAGTGACTCTGGGAAAGGTGGGAGAGCCCAGCCATGCTCTGAGGCAGAGGCTTCCTCCCGGTGCTCCAGAGCCTGCAAGTTTGGATTAGGAGCACCGCCCCAGGGCCCAGATGGTCCTGGGTTCAAATCCTGACTGTCGCTGTGTGACCTGAGAGAAGTCACTTGAGCTCCCTCAGGCTCGGTTTTCTCGTTTGTACAACGGGGGACCACGCGGGTGCCCACCTCCAGGTGCTGGCACAAGGCTGGTGGATAATGCAGGTCTGAGCTCAGCAGTGAGCTAGGGCCACACGAAGGGTTCTCCAAAGTCAAGGGCCCAAGTTAGACCTTCTGGGGCAGCGTTAGACATTCTGAGCATCCATCCTCGCCACAGGGCGGGTCCCTGCCTGCGAGCGTTTCCCAGAATTGAGCTCACGGAGACCATGAGCAGCGTTATCTGCAAGAGGCAGTCCTGGCCTTCTGATAGAGCTCCGTGTCAGGCTCTGGTGGCTCAGCTACAGGGCTGTCCCTTGTCTTTGTCTCGGGGAGGACTGGGCTCTGCTGGGGAACAACCTGTGATAGCCAGAACACCCCCGGGCCTCCGGAGAGATGGAAAGAAAAGGGAGTATGCTGAAGGAAAGTGCTTCTGTTCGCAGCACTTCCCCGAGAGCCCAGCTCAGTGGCACGTGTGACTTAAATAAGGCACACTTACATAAGGCAGGGCCACTAATGCAGCGCTGCATTTATTCATTGAGCACTTTACTGTATGTCAGGACTTCTAGTCTCAAACCTCCAAAGTGGTTGTTACTACTGTTCCCTTTTTTTTCCCAGATAAAACACAGCAAAGACTGACTTGTCCAAGATTACACAGCTAATAAGGCCGGATCCTGGGTTACAGACAGCTAGATGGTCAGGATCCTGCCAGAAAACCACAGGCGGCAGGAGGGAAAGACGCCAGAGACGCATGACTAGTCTTGTTACTGTGCCGGCCGTGGGGGGCAGGAGGAGGTTGCCAGGGGAGCCTGCGCCTCATCTTCCCGGAGCAGACAGGCTGCCCAGGAGCGGTCTGCATCCTCGTTTCCAGAACGGACTCGCCCTGCCACAAGGCACTTCTTAGCAGGCCACAGTAATGGCTCAAATCACCACCTGCCCCGCTCACCCCCTGCCACCCTACCCCCAGCCTACAGCCCCACCAAAGGCCCCAATCAAATCTCTTCCTGGAGCTCAGCACATGGCCTGGGGGTGAGGATCACTGGAGCCGACAGCATCACTCAGCATCCCAATGCGAAGTGACACCTCTGCCCAGATGTTCCGAGTGCTTAAAGGAGCAGTCCCCCCAAATCAGGAGGTCCTCACACTTGCAGCATTTACTGGGGCACTCCTGCCTTCTACCCTCCCTTTGTACGGAGCCCTCAAGATCTCAGACATTTTCATTACAGTTCTGAAGCATTGGGGGTGGGGTGAAAACAAAGAAAAAGAAAAAAAAGCCCCCCCCCCCAAAAAAAAAAAGGTTTTGAAGCTTGTGGACTTCTGTCTGACTCCAGAGGCTCCCTGCACTTTCCCAGCCCCCTGGGACACAGAGGTCCCTCTGGAAGAAAAGGGGGTTTAAGAGACCCGTGAGCTGTGTCTCACCCTCCTGTCTAGACACATCCGCCCCGAACTCAAGCAAATGAGATTGCGACTTGAGCCAGTAGCTGCAAAGAAGGGGCGAGAAGGCAGAGGGGCCTGCCTTCTCTGTGTCCCTCCCTTGGGATAGGGAGGGAAAGGCGCAGGAAAAGGTATTTATGGGCTGGGTGTCATCGTCAACGCTCATCATTGTGGCTGCAGTTTGTTTTCTCTTCTGCAGGGTTTTTAGTTTCCTGAGTGTGTTTTCTTGGTGTGTGCACACGCGTGCGGGTGCACGTGCGTCCTTTGGTCTTGGGAAGCCTTTGAGTCATAACAATAACTCATCCTAGCCTGATGTCAAGGCTAATTTACACTTCCCGGTCTGATGGCTTGATGCTACAGGACACTAGCTTTCTCCACTCTCCAAGCCGTCCCTCACGTCCACAGGCCAGCTGCTCTCCAGAAAACAGTTGTGTTGCCAGGCGAAGACATGTTGGGTCAGCTGGCAACGAGGCGAGAGGGGGCAGACTGCCCCAGCCCCAGGCCCAGACTGGCAGTGTTTCTGAGTAGCAAGTGCAGTCCTGGCTGAGGACCGTCCCCGGATTCCTCCAGCTAAGCAAAACCCTGCTCTTCCGAGGTCACCAAGAGGCAACAGGGACAGAGAGGTTGGGTGACGAGGCTTAGGGGCCTTATCACGGGGTCTGTAATAAACGAATTACACAAAAGCTTTCGGAAGAGGATGTTTCTCCTTCTTTATGAGCAAACGGTCTGGCTACTTTAGGGGAAATGATACAATGTCAGAGATCACCTAAACTGCTCACATTTCGGAAGAGAAGAGAGAACCCAGAGAGGTGCAGTGACCCGTTCAAGGGCACGCAGCCCACGGCTAGCAGGATCTGGGATGAGACATGGGCTCTCCTGACCCCGGGTCGGTGCTTGCTAGATTACCTGGCTGATTTTCAAATATTGTGTTTTTGTAAGCCGGGCATCCCTCCCCCCCCAGGCCCTGCAAGTGAGAGTGTATGTGCTATAAAACAGATCGAGGTGGTCCTGCTGCACGTGACGTGGGGTGAGGGGCCCAGAGCCCACCTGCTCTGCCTCTTTCAGTGAAGTTCTTGGGGCACCTCTGGGAGACCCAAAGGCTTCAGGACACTGTCTGAAAAATCACCACACTAATCAGGACAAGAGTAAACCCTCAGCACGGTTTCCGTAAGACGCCAGGTATTCGTCTGGGAGTTTCACAGCAGGTTCCTGCAGGACCAAAAGCTTTGAGAACTCCCGCCTCTGCGTGTGTGTGTCCCGGCAAATGGTGTCTCTTGGCACCTGGGCTCTTGAAAGGGGATCTTTGTTAGTTGAGGATGACTCCTCCTTCACATCCCTGTCCCCACCTGCACCCTACCTCATTTCCTCCCCCTCCTTTGCCCCTTTTTCTTTTCACCACTACTTCCCCCTTTCCCGGAGGGTGCAGAGAAGGCGTGGCTCCAGGTTGGGCAGCTTTTCAGCCTGCAGAACCCACAGGCAGGCTTGCTGGTCTTGTCTGAAGGCAAACTGGTTGCCTGTGGATCTGAGGCCGCCTGAAGGTCCATGCTGTTTGGTGTACGCAGTTGCTGCAATTAGTATACTGCAGCAAAACAAACTCCTCCAAAAACCCCAAAACAACCCTCTTGTGCCTCTGGGAGGGTTGTTTATGCTTCTGGGCTCTACCCGTCTCAGGAATTTGGAGAGCACACGGAAAGAATGGCTTGTTTCTGCTCATGACGTAAGGGGTCTCAGCTGGGAAAACTCGAAGACTGGGGTGACTCAGTGGCTAGGGGCTGGAGTCACCTGGATCATCTTCACTCACATGTCTGATGGTAGATGCTGGTTGTCAGTGGGGATGTCAGTTGGACTGTCAGCCAGAACACCGACCTATGTATGGTCTTTCCATGTGGGACAGTTGGGCTTCCTCACAAGATGGCAGCCAAGTGCCAAGCGCTAAGAGAATCAGGAAACCGTATCACCTTTTATGACTGTGTTAGTTTGCCAGAGCTACCATAATAAAGTACCACAAACTCGGTGGCTTAAACAGCAGAGTCTATTGTCTCACAGTTCTGGAGGCTAAAAGTCCAACATTGAGGTGTTGGCAGTGTTGGCTTCCTCTGAGGACCAGGAGGGGGAACCTGTTCCATGCCTCTTACCTGGTTCCTGGTTGCCTTAGGTGTTCCTTGGCTTATATTATGGATGCATCATTGCAGTCTTCCATCTTCACGTGGCTCTTTCCCTGTCTTCACATCATCTTCCCTCTGTGCATGTCTGTTTCTGCATCCAAATATCCTCCTTTTATGAGGACACCAGTCGTATTGGAGTGGAGCCCACCCTCATGACCTCATCTTAATCTGGTCATCTGTAAAGACCGTATTTCCAAATAAAGTCACATTCCCAGGTGCTGGGGGTAGGAGTTCAACATCCTTTGGGAGGACAGAATTCAACCCATGACAATGACCTAGCCTTGCTCCTGCCTGTAGTCACCAGCCCCTCTCCCCAGGTTCAAGGGGAGGGAGGGTCTTGTTGGAAAGACTGTCACGGGCATGTAAAATGGAGATGCTGTTGCGGCCATTTTTAGAAGATACAATCTGCCACGATAGTGTTTAAAACACATATATTTTTAGTTGCTCGTATTTGAGCATACGGGGGATTTACATAAAAAACTTGATTTCTGGTTCCTGAACATCAGAAGAACCTGACAGCGCTGGGCACTCACTTCCCCGAGCCAGCATTCAGGGAGAGCCGCCCCACTTCCCTCGTGCCCCTGTCCCGGGGCCACTGTCAGTTGCCATCTAGTCACTGTGCAGAACTGTCACTTCCCTTGCACTCAGCCTGCCCCTCTCCTGCCTGTCCCTGGGCAAGCACCCTCCCCGAAGGTGCCTCCCCACACCACTGCCCACAGAGGCCGCTCCCTGGGGCCGAACCTCAGGAAGTTCCCCACGGGTGAAATCATGCCACGACCTGGACAATCCCACCCCCGCCCCCACCTCTGCCCCGGGAGCGGGCAGAAGGCGTGGAAAGGAGCCCTGCCTCTGATTCAGGGCCCCCGCGTCTGCAGGACTGGCCCGGGCAGGACGAGGCTGGACAAGCACAGGCTGACTGCAGAGGGAAGGACAGGGCGGGGGCGGGGAGGCCGCCTGGAAAACTGCAAGCAGATGTGGTCATCACAGCCGCCCTCACGGGGTCCACCAGCCTCCTTCTGCCCCTCCCCCATGGCTCTCCTTCCAAGCAATGACGTCAGGGGCTACTTCTGAGGTGGCGTCCCTGACCTCCTGCCAATCCCATCCATTTGTGTCTTCTAGAACTTTCCCAGATCTTCCCTGCTGTTGGCCAAACACCTTTACGACAAATGCCGAGAAAGCGAACAATGCCAAGGTTGCCAACGCTATTGCTGCGACATCCCAGGAGCCTTGAACCGGAGCCATCATTTTCTCCCTAGAAGAGTCCGCTGCGCAGAAAGCAGCCCAGGCCCCGGGGCCAGGGAATGGGCTCTCGCTGTCCTGGGCCTCCTGTGGGAATGTGGGCAGGTCCCTTCCCCCAGAGGAGCTGAGCCCTCTTCAAGCTTGGACACCTCGTATTTTGGCTGGGACAAACCCCAGGGATTAGGGGTGTCCCCGAAGACCCTAGCTCTGTCACTTTGCACAGGTGACTTGGCCTCTCTGTGTCTCTTGCTCCTGCCTCTGTAAGATGAGTTAATTCATGCACAAAACGTTGCGCGGTGTCTTAAGTGTGAGCTATTGTTAGTGTTTACGTGTGTCCCTGATGAGGTGTGGGTATCCACCATCCGGCATCACACCGTTGGGCCCTTTCTAGTGGAAGCCGGCCTCTCCCTGCATGCCCAGACAGGAGCGGGGTGGCGTGGGCCCCGGCACCAGCACGGGAGCCTGCCCTGCCAACCCTGTACCAGGCCCCGTGCCAGCCCCAGAAAGCGGTGGGTCTTGCCTCCATCTGCAAACGGGCAGGCTGTGCCCTGTCTTGTGCCCCAACTCCAATGCACCCAGCGCTCCCGAGATCCCCTGCCTTTGCCCAGAGCCAAGGCACAGGGGGCAGGGCCCCGGAGTTCCGGTCACCAGCAGCTGTGATTAATATTTTGCAGGTTGAAGGCCGGTGAGAGGTTTTCCTGACCTCAGGGAATGATCGTTGTTTGGCTCTTAGTGAGGAGTGGAAACAATTGTAAAAGAGGGGGAGGTTGGGAAGAAATAGGAAAACAAGTATCCCTCAGTTGCCAATTTAATTCAGGGCCTGCTGTCGCTTTTCTACAGAAATCTAAGACTGCTGGGGGAGGGGAGAGGAAGAAGAAGGGGGCAGAAGGGAGGCCCAAGGTCCCAGCAGTGCCTGGTCCTGGGATCCCACCAGCTTCGGCCGGTTTATCGAACCTGAACTCCCAGAGACAAAAGACACACATTGGAGCTCCAACGAGAGCTTCTTACTCCTTCCCTAGGGCTGGTGTCACAAATCGACACAAACTGGTGGCTTAACCAACAAAGATGTATTCCCTAGCAGTCTGGGAGCTACCAGTCCAGAATTAAGGTGTGAGGAGGTCCCTCCTCGGGCTCCAGGGGAAGGTCCTGCCTTGCAGCTGCCAGCTCCAGACGGCTCCAAGCCACCCCAGAAACTTCTCAGTGTGTAGCTGCGTCTCTCCCACCTCTGCTTTTCCCACCTCTGCTGCTGTCTTCAGACGGCCTCTTCTGGGTGTGGCTCGATGTGTTCTCCCCTTCTTATAAGATCACTAGGCATTGGACGCAGGGCCCTCCCGATCTAATATGACTGCGTCTTAACTAATTACGCCTGCAAAGACCCTACTTCCAAATAAGGTCACATTCTGAGGTTCCAG